CGCCTGGGGGGGGGCGGTGGGCTGTCTCCCGGACGCCCCCCGTTAGCCCCCGTGTCGTTTCTCCGCAGCAAGACCAAGGTGAAAAGGAGAACCCCATGCGAGAGCTGCGGATCCGCAAGCTCTGCCTCAACATTTGCGTTGGGGAGAGCGGGGACAGGCTCACCCGAGCGGCCAAAGTGCTGGAGCAGCTGACGGGCCAGACCCCTGTCTTCTCCAAAGGTGAGGGGCGGGTTTTCCTGCCGGCCGCCGAGGCGGGCTGCAAAGGAGCAAGTTTGTTGTCTGGCTTCAGCAGCGGTGGTTTTCCTTCCTCTCCTGAGCACGCAGAGGGTGAAGCGGCAGCGTGACTCCCAGGGAGGAGGCTCCTTGGCAGGGCCGGTGCGGGGAGGGCTGCTCTGATGTGGGCCTTGTTGTGAGAATTGGGGGCCTTAAATATTGAGGTGCTGGCGGTCGTTTCTGTCAGTTCAGTCCTGGCTCCAGACTCGGGCTGCTGCTTTGCCCTCATCCCCAAAGAGGGCACGTGTGGTTGCCTTAGTTCTTTTTTTCTTTCCTTTAAAGTAATTTCTTTGGTCTTCTAAAGCAAGCTCTGAATCCCCCGCGTGGGAATTCTTTGAATAGCCTCTGAGTGTAATTATTGCTGCCCACAGCACGATACACTGTAAGATCCTTTGGCATCAGGAGAAACGAGAAGATCGCTGTTCATTGCACGGTTCGCGGGGCCAAAGCAGAGGAGATTCTGGAGAAGGGGTTGAAGGTGAGAATTTGGCTGGTCTGGATGTTTGATTTGTGAAAGAACAAAACTGAATCCATACCAGCTGAAAAGACGTACGCTTTGAAATGTTGCGTCTGATCTGGTCACAGGTCAGTCATGGATGTTAAGGGTTGGGGTAGCAGCTTTGCCTGATGCGCAGGCTGCTGTGTTTGTACTGTTTCTCTCTCTGGTTGCTGTTTCATCCTTATTTAAGAGCTAGTGGGTGCAAGTTGCTGCTTTCTTTTGAGGTTCTGTCTTTGCTGCTGCGATGCATGAGCAGGCTGTGGGAGCAAAATCTTGGGGCTAAAGACTTGGTAGCGTGAGAGCGAGTTGTGGGTCTGGTAGCAGTTGGAACACACAGGACTTCTTGTTGTAGTTAAAAATGAAATAGTGACTGACAACAAATGTTTCAGGTGCGAGAATACGAGTTGAGAAAAAACAATTTCTCAGACACTGGGAACTTTGGCTTTGGAATCCAGGAGCACATCGATCTGGGGATTAAATACGACCCCAGTATTGGTATCTACGGCTTGGACTTTTACGTGGTGCGTATTTCCCGCTTCCCTGCAGCTACTGGGCTTGTGTGAAAGCTCTGGAAGGAACCTAAAATGATAACTGGCTCACATGGACTTGCTGCCAAGTGCTGGAAGACAGAAAAATGTCAACAAAATCCAAGTCTAAACCGAGATTCCCGGGGCTGCCGTAAAATCCCTGATTTATGACATGTCTCTCAAAGCCTCTCCAGAAACAAATACTGTTGCTCTTCCTGGTACTCCTGGGATAACACTGAAACAGCTGTGCTCGGTTTGGGGAAGGAATGAGCAGCAGGGGCTTCAGGAATGCAGACTGAAAGATGGGCTGCATTGCTGGAAGGTTCTCCCTGCGTTTAGAGGGCTGGGGCTGGGTCATGTAGCATGTTTGAGTCGTTCCATTCTGCTGTGCCTCACTCTAAATCTCTGAAATAGAGGGAAGCTGTTCCATACGTGTTAGCAATGCCGTTCAGTGTATCTTTTCTCAAGAGCTGAGGCCTCTGGGTATGGAATAGTGTGTCTTCCACGCTCATTTTGGTTTCTCCGAGTCAGTGTATGTGCTAAGTTGTCCAGTCTAGAAGCTGTCCCTGTCAGTTTACCTGGCTGCTCAGAAGTTACTTAGTTTTCAGTTTACATTGAGGCTGTAGAAGATAATACTCTCAGTCTTGAACGTGACTCAGACAAGGAGATGTTACTGATGTGGAAATTCTAGCCTTTCCTCCTAGAAAACTGTCAAGTTTAAGAAAATAAATAAATCCCAGAATGACATAGTGCTGTGGGTCTCGTCTCCTGGCAGGTGCTGGGCAGGCCTGGTTTCAGCATTGCTGACAAGAAACGCAGGACTGGCAACATTGGAGCCAAGCACAGAATTGGAAAGGAAGAAGCCATGCGCTGGTTTCAGCAGAAGGTAAAGTCCATCTTTATTTTTGTATCCCAAGAGTTTCCTAGCAAGTATCAGCAAAATGCTTCACCGCCGAGGGACTAGAACAAGTCACCGGGCAGGAGGAGATCTTGACTGCTGCTTAAATCGTTGATTTTTACTGCTCTGGGGCGGTAGAAGCTGCGTTTGAGCACAAGTGCTGTTTGTGCCCCTTTTTGGTTTTTGTGTGCGCTGAACTGAAAGAGCAGCTTTTGCAGGATAGCTGGAAGTATTGGCTCTTGTGTAAATCTGTCTCCCCCAGTTTTTGGAGGTGTTACGTGTGCGTGGATCACAAGTGACAAGGCAGGGTTAGGATTTGTTTATCTGACACAGCTCCTAGATCAGCTGCCAGACTTGGAGGATGGAGCGATCCAAATGAAAAGTTCTTGGGTTTATCTGTCCATAGCGCTTTCTGACACAGACTGGATAACAAATGGGGGATGCCGAAAGCTTGATGGGAAATGCTTGGAGATGGGGACTACTGATACTTTTTCAGAGGTGGAAAGGTGGGCAGTCTGTCTGGAGGCTCTTAATTGGCTACTCTGCCTAGACCTTCACTGGCCATGCCCTGCGCAGGGCGGGCTCCAGCCTGCTCCTGCTGAATGGCTCTTTCCCCCCCCCCCGTGCCTGGTTCTGCTCACTTGTGGCACAGTTACCTTCAGGGGCCAAATCCTGGGACTGTAAAAGGGACGAGTGTAGTTCTGGTCAGATCAACCTGTGAAGGGTGGGGCTTCTTGTTTCGCTGGGCTGATGAGCGGAGTTTAATGCTTATCTGAACAAAGCCCCACTTGGAAGTTAACAGCACAGCAGCAAAGTAGAAAGGCAGTCAGCTGCAGGAGAACTGGTGTTCCATGTCAGTGTTTGGCTGGCTTGGAATGGATGTGGTGACTCCGTTTTCTGCACAGCAGTGTACTGCACCTTTACCTGATGGTACTTTCTCACTTGGTTCTTTTTTTTTTTTTTTTTTTCCCCCCACTCACAGTATGATGGCATCATCCTTCCTGGTAAATGAGCTGTTCCTGTTACCAAAAAA